CTCGTAGTAGAAATCCACGGTACGATAGAGAGTCTGAGGCATGCGACATAGCCATAACCATGGGTATCGGCAGTGAGAGGAACCTTTGTGGCATGCGGAAACACGCGATGGCTTACTCGAAATTTCGGAATCTCGAGACTGAACACCTTCTCGGCGAACTCAGAAAAAAGGGACCAATGCGAGAGCAACGATGAATGATATCGGAGTAAAACAATTTAAACAAGATGGGCAAGCCCAGTCCAGTAGTGGGCCTCCTTTCATTTAAGGCAGTGGTTCTTAACCCCTGGGTCGCGACCCAAAATTGGGTCGCCAAGGGTCTCCAGTGACTGTCCGAACTTTCACATATCGTTTATCACAAGTGAATTGTTTGAGAGCATGGGTCGCCGAGCTAGCCCCGCAACCGGAATTTGGGTCGCAGCCAAAAAAGGTTAAGAACCACTGATTTAAGGAGACCCGCAGTTTCTCACATAATTCAACAAAATTGCATCTCTTTCCGGTCCTCGGCCATCAAAAACATAATTTTCCAGATACGTTTGAAAATCTACCCATGAAATGATGATGGGAGTATGGAGGGCTGTGCGTGCTTGGAACCATCCGCCACGAAGGTTGGTAGAGAACTGACAGCTCTGGTTGCTGACACGGCACCGTGCACCAAGGCCTGGGTCGTACGCGCATGCGCATTGCGATCCAGATCCTGAAGGTCTCACGGGTGCTCATGCCTCCCTCTCCGAGACCAAATTTCGAATCCAAAATTTCCAATAAAAATGTCAATTTTGGTGCAAATTCAACACAAAACGAACTCAGCTTGTATCTTATTCATATCTACCCCGATTGCTAATTTTCGCCTTGATCAGGACAATATTTTTTTAGTTATCGTCGGACAACCGGACGGGACCATAAGTGGTTTCTTTCCTTTCAGGAAAGGAGGCCCACTAAAAGAGGCGATGCAGGATGCCGGGTGACTACCGATGCGAAGAACCGATTTTGATCTTTCGAGGCATTGCAGAAAGTGAGCCAAAGCACTAAATGTGAGCTTTCGAGGTTCACGCAAATGGGACATGAGTGGATTGCTGATTCTCCTTTAAATGAGACATTTACGTTACGTTATGTGGTCGTGTGGGTGGATGGATGGGTGGATGGATGGCTGGATGGATTGCTGGATGGCTGGATGGACGGGTAACTCGATTTGCTCAAAAAAAAAATCTCTGAAATTATCAAGAGTTAAGTGGTGAAGTTTGGAACATTGGGAGGTCTGTAGCAAATTTCATTCAGAGATGCTCAATGCTTGCAAGTGCCTCCCGTCTCTTCGCTACGTGGCTCAATTCAGCAATTCACAGCTTTTTAAAATCCTCTTCAAAGATCGTGATCGAACGCTGGCTTCGTAACAAACTCACTCGTCGTTTTCAGGAGGGCCAAGACCTTCTGAGTTTGGCTGAGACGAGCAGGAATTCCTGGAAGAGAACGTCGTCTATCGAGTCTCTTGGATCGGGGCTTATACGATCGTATCGCTGAACTTCGAATTCTTCGATGGAACTCCGAGAAATTATCATCAAATTGGACTCAGTGGCTATCGGTATCCGTTTCTATTCGCTCCGACGAATACGACCCGCAAGGAAGCCTTGAAAAGAGTGGGAAACGGAACGACGGCACAGAACTCGAAAGGTTTTAACTTCGAACCAGGTTTGAGGAGTTGTGGCCGATGTCGCTCTCTTCTTCCCGATCTGCGATATATCAAGCAGCCGGAGTGATTTTTTTCTCCGATTTAACGCGTCTTCGGCGAAATTTAAGAAATTTAAGGTCAGAGCTCGCTCTGGGCTGCAGTGTTTGGATGCCTTTGGCCTTCCGCGCAGCATCCGAACGAATGCGGCAAATTTCTTTTCGCCCTTGCGGGAGTGCATGAATGAATGGGTGGATGTGAGAGTGGATGGATGGATGGATGGATGCCAGTGTAGGTGTATGGATGGATGGGTGGATGCGAGTGTGGATGGATGGATGCGGGAGGGGATGGGTGGATGGATGTTCCTAAATATCTCGGAAACTTTGAAGAGTTAAGCGATAAAATTTGGCGAGCTGGAGGGTCTACTTGCAGGTTTCGTCGATCGTTTCGCGATTGCTTCCCGTCTCTTCACCGTGTGGCTCTCGTCAGACGTTTACAGTCTTCAAAGATCCTCTAAGGGAATCTTTCCGGCAGTTACGACCGATTACATGTATGCTACGTGGGGCACTTAGAAAGCTTCCAAAAGGTTCCATTGTTTTTCAAAATTCATTGCCAGATGAAAAAGCTTCCAATTTTTACAGGATATAAAACCGCATAAATAAATTACCCGACATGGTATTTACCTGAAAACTCGTGCACAGACTCGTGTTCAGTGGAGCCGAAAGTGTAAGAAAGCTTTCGTGTGTGACCCTTTCCACGAAGCCACATCCGGAAACTTTCTGAGTGCCCCACGTACATGTCCCCGGAAGTCCCGTGAGCTTTTGCAGCGGATCACTGAGGATGGATGGATGGAAATTGCCAAAAAAAATCTCGGAAGCTAGCAGGGTTAAGTGACGAAATTCGGCATGCTGGAAGGCCAAGTGGAAAATTTCATTCGGAAATGCTCATTACTTCGAGAATGCCTCCCATCTCTTCATTACGTGTCTCAGATAAGCTGTTCCCATTTCTTGAAGGTTTTCTATTAAAAATTCCTGGTGATACTCGGGATACAGAACGAACTCCTCGCACTCAGGAGATCCGGGACCTTCCAGGATCGTCCTAAGACGAAGACACTCAGCATGTTAATTTAAGAATGGATTCTTAAGTGCTGGCGGCGATTCCACAATCGTTTAAAAGGAAAGGCACCTGCACCTGCTCGCATGAGATAAAATTCGCATGGCAGAGATCTACGCGATAAAGTAAAACACTGCGTTTTACTCTGAGATTTCTCTTTAAACCTGCTCATCGTGACATCGATTCAGATGTTACAATCTCGGTTCCTTGAAGTCTTCCCAATTTCTCCACTGGGCATTCTCTCGACTGACCTTGTTTTCCGTCTGGGTCTCACTGCACTTCGTGCACTCGAAAAGCCTGGACAAACAAGCCGGTTGTGACCCCCGATTGGATACCCTTCGAAGATTCGTGTTATTTCTCTGGAGGACCTGCGAATCTAACGGAAGCTTGACTTTGCATTCACAGTCTAGAAGAGCAAGAAATCCTGGAAGAGAACGTCGTCTATCGAAGCTCTTGGATCGGGGGCGTACACGACCGGATCGCTGATCGACGATCCTCGGAATTTCGAATCCTTTGATGGTACTCCGAGAAACTATCATGATGGAACCAGTAGCTATTGGCACTGGTATCCGGGAAACGAAAGTGGCGGGATACTTATGTTGCCGCGGTTGTGGAAAAAACGTGGACTGCTCCACGAAACAACCCGTCCTCTGCCAGGAAAAAAAAAAAAAGATTCTCGCAAGGGTATTATTTCACCAAAGGTCCGGAACCCACGACGTACGACGAGGCATTCGAGTACTGCGCGAATACGTCGTCGCGCCGCGGAGGATACGAGATCCCCTAGCTCCTCGGTTCGCAGAGCATCCGGGAATTTCGCATTCGCCTTTTCCCTTCCCAGGACGACGGCCCGGGGGATCACCCACGCTCGCACGCGAGGAGGAACCCCGAGTCCAGACAATGCCCCTCCGAGGACGGAATGAGACCAGACAATGCCCCTCCGAGGACGGAATGAGACCGGCTGGCACCGGGATGGCTTCCCCACCTGGGGAGGGCGACTGCACCTTGGTCGGCGTCTCTTCTTGGATCCCGTATTACTGAACCTAGGAAACGTTATTCATTTGAATGAAACGCCCCTCGTGTTTTATCTCGGCCTTCTCCATCTTATGGAATTTTTTTCTCACCAGTCTCGTCCCGCAAGGGACGAGACTGGTTTACTTGTAATAAAAAGCCTCGTTTCTTTTCGCATATTTTGTACAGTAGCCATATGGCTACGAGAAAGTTGCGGATGTTGCGATTAGTCTGCCACTTATTTTTCATTCCGTGCCTGCAGTATCCATGGCAATCGGACAATTCGACTCAGTGCGCATGTGCAGCTTTCCGACTGGGTCGGAGTGCCAATCTACGACTAAAACGTCCTCTTCCCTATGCCGCATATGGCATCTTAGGCTTTATACTCGCTTCCCGTCTAAACGAGACCCGAGCGCGGGAACCATGAGGACATCGTCTGGGCGTCCGGGACTTTTCATATAGGCTAGGGGTGTCAAACTCGATTAGACTTGGGGCCGGATGGAAGCCTTCCGGGGTGATTGGGGGCCACAATAAAAATCGAACAACAAAAATTTCATGCAAGCAGGCTGAAATTTGCAGTACGTAACCAACTGTTGAAAAGGACATCGCGGGTCGGACAAAATGGACTGGCGGGCCGGATTCGGCCCGCGGGCCGCCAGTTTGACACTCCTGATAGAGGCCTATGACGTACCAATCACGGCTATTATCTATTTCAAAGTTGGATGGTAAGGATGCGGAGAAGATGGCTTCAGTGGTGTAGGAGCCAGTGGAATGGCAGAACCGTACTTGGGCTGGTACTTTAGTTGCTTTTGTGACTCTCTCTTCGCCAGAAACTCACTCGGAAACCTCCGATGCGTCATAGGTAGAAAACGCCATCTGCAAGGTTGTCGTCAGTTGGCGAAAGTTAAAGCGCCCAACTTTGAAAACACATGGCGTGAAGAGAACCGTCAGCAGGTCGAAAGCTCTCCCAAGGACGCAATAAACAATATTTCGAGATCATTTCACATCCTTCGGTACAAGGGACCTCAAAAAAGCGGGAAACGAAAAGCGATCTCTACCTGAGAAAGCGAGGACTTCCATCTCCTCGGTGCGGGATCGAAATGGCCTATTAACCGGGAAAAGCACGGGGATGATTGGAGATCAAGGTCGGAATCGTTGGGAAGAGAATCTAAGTCAGTCTCTTTCCAGCTCGACAGCGTGACCCGGAAAGCAACGGGACTTGATGGAAGAGGCGTCTTGGGGCCCGCGGGAGGTCGGTCGGGCGAGTCCCCCTCCCCCCGCGGGATCCGCGTGGACCGCACGGCGCGTTCTGGTTGGGCTGGCAAGTGAAAGGCGCGGCCGGGGAGGGCTCCATGCAGGCTTTCTTCTCCTGGCTGGAGGCTTTCTTTCCACGATAGTCGGTGAAGGCGTGTCGATGAGTGACCAGTGAAAGAAAGTGCGTCGAGGAAAGCGAGCGAAGATGATCGAAACCGTCAAGTTGGGATTCAAGAACCCCGTGCAAAACGTTCCTTTCAGACCCTGGTTGAAAACGTACGGGAATTTCTTGTTTTTTTTGTTTATTATCTTCTCGATCGTCCTTTCGCTCCGCTGAACCTCGGGGTCTCCTTTAGGCTATACAACTGGGCTGGCTGGATCTGCTTCTTCAGCTGCTTCCCGCTCTACTCTCGCTACCTAACCCTTTCGGAGCAGGTCTCGTTCTTCGCCATACCAGGTGAGAAAGCCTCGAGATGGCATCCATGTTAAGATTGCGTCACCGAGCGAGCAGCGCCAGGGACGGAAAAGTGATGGGGATTGACCTACTTGGAAACAGCTGCGGAGCTGGGGAAACTCGAGGCCCCGCAGGTGAAACTGGCCGAGGCTCTGGTTCTCCCGCCGATTCCTCCGCCGAAATTGAGACTCCCTAAACGGGTATGTGCACTGGGTTCCCAGGTTTTCATAACACGGTAGTTCTTAACTTTTTTTGGCTGCGACCCAAATTCTGGTCGCGGGGCTAGCTCAGCGACCCATGACATCAAACAGTTCACTTGTGATAAATGATATTTGAAAGTTCGGACAATCGCTAAAGACCCTTGACGATCCATTCAAAATGGTTTGGCGACCCCATTTGGGGTCGCGACCCAGGGGTTAAGAACATAACAGAATACAGAATATGCCTCCAGAGAGAGAGAGAAAAAAATATGTTTTCATGAAAAAGGCACCTTATTATATTTCTACCTCTCCCGAACTTTTTCCTCGTACCGCAAAATGAAGCCCATCCCAGATAGGATCTCGACGGTGTGTGTAAATCGCGTTCAAACACCCTCGCTTGATATCGGAGCTGCTGAGCGAACGTGCATACAAGAACTCGATCCACTCGACAGAGGTGCATCTAACCTTGACAGAGGTGCATCTAACCGGAAAAAGCGACGGCAAGAGACACCCTTTGCCTTCACACTTGGGAAAGTGGGCAAATGCCCCCACGCTTCCTACGGCCTTGGCTCTAGTCTATCATAAATACAGCCATGTGGGGGTCATTATTCTTTTTTTTTCTTTTGATGACACGAAAAACTTCCATGACCTACAAGATTCAGCTGTAAAAAAGTGAAAGGATCGAATAAGGGCGGTATCAGGATAGCACGAAATACCAAAGATAGCATTAGTGTAGAAACAAAGTTTTTAAATGACTTGGCTACTTTTAATGAGCGAGTCATGGTGTAAAAAGAACCATTTGCCGTTTATATTATTTTACTTAACAAGACCAGGCAAAAATATACGTACGTAGAATTTCCCATTTCGTTTGCTGCGTCTTCGAACTTGTTTTTAACACGTGGCAGGCCCTGAAGCTGGAGGAGGTGAACAAGACGCGCGAGGCGACGCGGGACGTGCTCGTGTTCACGGGCGTGCCCCTGGCCGCGTCGGGTCCCATGGCCAAGATCATGGAGGGGCTGTCGTTGATCCGGGGGTTCGAGTTCATCGAGGCGGGGGTGTCGAACGAGGAGGACGACGCGGAGAAGCAGGAGGTGTTCGAGATGCTTAGAGCCACGATCGGAGACTTCTCGGCTGTGGCGATCAGCGGCCTGCCGTATCACGATCTGCATTCGTAGGTCTCTTAGCGAGTAAAGTAAATGTTTTTTTTTAAGTTTTTTTTTATGAATAAAATATTTTAAATTAAATTTTGTCGTGATAGGCAAGTGGCGGGGAAGGACAAGTTCATCTTCGTGAGCATGGTGAGAGACCCGGTGGAGAGAATCATCTCCTGGTATTACACGGCCAGATCCCCCTGGTTCTTCATCGACCAGTTCAAGCAGAACCCAGCCGACGGCATGCCCGACATCGACTGGGCCCTCACGGTACGCTCTCCCTCCTCCTTCGCGATCCGACCCCCACGCGATCCCCACGCCATCCTCACGCGATCCGCCGACAGGACTTCGAGACCTGCATGGAGGAGAAGGAGACGGACTGCCAATGGATCCCGGGGACCCTGGACGTGTACTCGGGGCGGCCCAGGCAGACCTCCTACTTCTGCAACATGAACTACGATGCTCATTGCAAGTGAGTTGCGACCGTCCCGGATGGACGCGTGTGCCTCTGGCCACAGCAACGTCGGATATTATAGAATGGGATTTAATTATTTTCTCGATGCTATTAATTACGGAGCAATTAAATTTATTGTCGCGAATGTCACGTTAATAGTGGTATCAAGTACTTTATATTGAGTTTTACGTCTAATGTACTCTTTTATAAGGGTTGGGAACAGTTGCCTCTCTCTGGGCATGAGAGTATCGAGAACCTTCTACTTAGTTTTTCGGTGGCTGAAGCGATGAAGCGAGTTGGCTACAAAAAAAAATTAGCGTTTTTCTGCAGCGCAAATTACCGTAAATAGTACAGTTTTTTTTCCAAAGTACAATAGCCGCTGCGTAAACATTAGTATTTTCCTATGGAAAAACACATGGATTACCAATCTGGAGGAGTGGGTTACCATAATGCGAAGAGACTTGGCGAAAACAACCCAAAATGCTCGTATTTCTTTCTAGACCTTTCAATGGCCCGTATGCCTCCCAGGTGGCAAAGAAGAACGTGAACCAGCACTTTGCCGTGGTTGGGGTCGTCGAGGACTTCGAGATGACGCTTGAAGTCCTGGAAAAGTTCATTCCCAGATTCTTTCAAGGAGCAAGGGCCTATTACGCAGGTCGGTATTATTATTATTATTTTTTTAAATAAATACCGTCGATCCCCTCGTTGACGCCAATCCGATCGCAGAGCACAAGCGCCAGCTGGACAAGGCGTACCGGAACTGGTACAAGTCCCCGGTGGCCGACAAGTACAAGGCGATGGTGGCCAAGAACCTCACGGAGGAGATCAAGTTCTACGAGTACTGCCGCATGCGGCTCTACCGGCAGTACCAGGCCCTCCAGGTACATGGACTCGCTTGATCATTCGGACTGTGATATCTCGTTCCCAGTCGTGCGTTTCAGATTTGTATTTTTTAGGGGAAATAAAGAGACGATTTTTTCTTTCGCATCAAAACTAATTCGAGTTTCACCGAATGGAATTCGAAACGAAAAGGGAGACTTGCAATTTCGTTGTCCATCTTTTCTCCCGCACCTATTCACCCACCCCTTTTCAGTACCGAACGAAGAGGCGTCCTTACGTGACTGAAAAGGTCAAGGGTGGAAGTACATAAGGAAAGGTCAAGGGTGGTGTACTTCATCGAGTGCTTGGATCTCGAACTCGAGACGAGAAACGTGCCTGCTACATATGGAAGCGGGCAAATGCGGTTCACAAGATTAGAACGTACGATTGCGTCCAGATAGCCTTTTTGGGCGTATCGGACACGTCGCGATGAGATAGTACCGGTACTTGAAGTACTGTACGATAGGAACCAGAAACGTCGATGAGGACTTTCGGGAAAACCGACTCGCCTTCTCGAGGGTCGCTCCCTTGACGTCACGACAAACTTTTCGAGGATCGATTGGAGAAAAGCCTACACTCTTCAAGAAATATGTTTGGTACGTTTTCTTACTAATTAAAAAATATAATCACGTCTTGAAGTTTTGTGAAAACTTCAAGGCGTGATTTCTCAGCTCCCTGCCGAAAGAATCCGCATCTGGAGAAATTGGGATTGCAATCACTACTCATTTTTGTACTGCAGAAAAAGTAAAAGAAACCCGGGCTATCATGTCATCGGCTCTTTCTGAGATCCCATTAGGAGATAAAAAAAAAAGCATAAGGAAACGAGGACTCGCCGGTCTGTCTCCTTCCTGCTCAGACTCGTTTTCCTTACCAGGCCAGGTGCCAGAGATTGCCCTGAATGCTAATGTCGCACGTGGATGTGCCACATAACTGAAAGAAAAGGGCAGAACGTGGAGTGCAGCGAGAGAGCAGTCGCGTTGGGCACCGTCCGCGGACGAGAACTCCAAACTTGTAGTTCATCTGCGTGAGTAAGCGAGATGGCGCGAGCGTATATACACTACCGCCATCTCACTATTGAACCTGGGACGAGCTGAAGCTCAGTCGAAGTCTTGCACGGGCAGGAACGTGATGAAGGGCACGTGGAATTTCATTGCAGCTGGAATCCCGTTTAAAATCCGCGTTCCTTCGTGTCTGTTCCTCTCACTATGGATATAATCGTCTCGACTTCGAAGGCCGACGCGGATCGAATCTGAGCGCTTTTGAGAGATTGAATCTCGTCGCTTTTAACTCGTTGGCCCAGCCGCTGAGGTTCCCGCAAAATTTAGTGTCTGGAACCTGGAAGAATGCCATGGAACTCACAGTGTGATGGTGAATACAATGACGAAATGCGGATAGCGCATCCCCGGAGTAACCGCTTGATCCAAATCGAGTCTCCCTAAGTTACTCCCTAAGTATGGGCTTCGCGCAGTAAAACAGAAACAATTTTCTGCACAAAATATAAATATATTTTGTATATATGCGATAAATATAAATATGCGATATATAAATGCGATGTACACGGTCAGGCCTCGTGCAATTGGATGCAGGAATCGTTTCGTGCCGAGAGGAGGAACGAGGCCGTTCCCCGAAGGCCTACACTCACGTTATGCTAAAATATTCAGCTCGACAGTTACGGCTCCTCGCCAACTCATCCTTCTGATCAACAACTTATTCAAGGTCGATGCTTTGATTTCCGATACTTGGCCTGGTGTTACGAACGACCATGCATCTAGGCTTCGACTCGGGGCCTCAATTCCATCGGTACATCCAAGTTTCAGGAAATATGGGTCCTCCCGCAATATCATACGGAAAGTTTATGTTTTCGCTACTTGAGCTCTTTCGGGGAGTCATATTGAATAATAATTTTTAAAAAACCATTGGGCTTAAACCGCGTCTTTACTGGGGCATCCGTTAACGAGATACAGGGCCGACTGAAACTGATCCCGTCACGAGGCCGACTGGAGGGAAGAGGTGTGCAGTGAGCTCTTTTGTCACAATCACTTCTTGCTCCGGCCTTCTCCCTTTCTCCCGACGTATAAGGCACTGCACACCTCTTCTTCCTTTCCTTCAGAGAGGCTGCGTGACGTCATCTGTTTCGTACTTTCGTCTCTCTATGTCTCCTGAAAGGATTGACCGATAAAAGCGCGGCTTTCACCATCGGAGTTTCTTCGCCATGACTCGAAGATACAGCTCATAAGGCAGATTCCACTCAAACTCCTTCACTTTAAAGATGAAACGATAGAGTTCAACACGAATTGAAAAAGCCATTGTGACGTTTGATCTGGTGTCGTCTGCTGCAGTGACGTCACTGCAACTCTATCAAAAGTCACAAAGTTCAAGTGGAAGGAGGCGTGTTCATCCGAAGAGCCAAGCGAAATCACACGCTAGGGAGACGAGGGATAGGGAGCACTATCAGGCCAAGTATCGATCAAACACCGAAAGGCCCTATCTGAAAGACAAGATAGAGTGCTGGGGGACCGTTTGCGCCGCTGTCGGGGAGATCGCCATGTCGTCCAAGATGTCACTGGCCACGGAACAAACTCCCCTGATCTCTCCGCGCGAGGCACGTGTCAGCTGCTGACCCTCGTCATTCCGTCCCTTCGTACACTTATGGTATGGATGACCGCAGGATGGCATGTATTGCGCTCTCCAAAGACCATCCCAAAGCTTATTAAATTTCAAGTGATTCTTCATCGACCCAGCTTGAAGTGGCGAGGCCAAGCCGCACGGATTCGGACAAGAGATTAGGCCAATTCGCAGTTGGTGTTCGAGATACGGCATTCTCATGGATTCAGGTCTGTCCGACGAGGCGAGAGATAAGGCTGAGGCCATCAAGACAGACGCCAACGAATTTTTCAAGAGTGAGTTCCCTTCCGAACTTCATGGCCTAAAGTTGGCCTCAACCAGGGTGCATTAACCCTTTAATAAGCAAGCCTACAATCCATAATTGATAAGAAAGCCCTTGGAGTGCCTGTACATAATTGTCTAAAATTTTAAACAAAATGTTTGAGTGCAGTGTGTTTTGGAATTGTACCAGTTCATGGGTTGGTGCAATTCCAAATGCACAATGCAGTAATTGCTGCCATCTGTGAGATATCACCTGTGGCCCAATGAACTTCCAGAAGTTTTTCTGTGTGAAGTGAAAAGTTAAGAAAAAACGACAAGCTTTTTGATGGTTTTTGACAGACTCACACGGAACATTCAGGACCATCAAGTACATGTCTCCTCCTGCCAGGAGGAGGTTAATTTCTGACAACTGTTCAAAGTTGCAAGAAGTTAAGTTATAGTTGATAAAGGAAGGCCAATTGATGTTCTTTTATCCTTTTTCTACATCAAGTACCAGAAAATTGAGATAACTATATTAAATCAGCTCTTTCTGAGCCTGTAGCAGTCAAGTTAGCTTTGATGAAAATATTTAACATCAGGCCCTTATATTAAGCCAGAGATATTTTCATGGTGTCACTTATACTGGATGGAAATTACATTTCACAAACACAAGCCAACATTACCCTATAACAAGCCACACTCTGGTAATGTTGGCTTGTGTTTTTTAGGGTGCTTAACATGCCCCAGGCCTTGTGAGCTTCTCTTATTGTCTCGTGTGTAATTTCATGGTCATGTGAAAGCCTATTTGTTTGCTGGGTGAAACTTATTTGGAATTGTCAGTGTAATGGCTTCTTTGGTGTTGGGCTTTTGCAGAGCAAGACTATGAGAAAGCCATTGAATTGTACACAGAAGCAATCAACTTGAACCCCAACATACCAGCATATTATGGCAATAGAAGTTTTGCCCACCTGAGAGTGGAGTCCTTTGGATATGCTCTGGCTGATGCATCAAAGGCAATCGAATTGGACAAGAACTATGTCAAAGCTTACTACAGGAGAGCTGGTGCTTACATGTCACTTGGCAGATTCAAACTAGCCCTCAAAGACCTTGAAGCAGTGAGTGTAGCAAATGGCTAGGTCCAACTGCTTCCCTTATCTCACATTTGAAAGTGTGAGATCTTTTACACAGGTCGTGAAGGTGAGGCCAAATGATGCCGATGCAAAGAGGAAATACAATGAATGCAAGAAGATAGTGACAAAGAATGCTTTCTTGGCAGCCATAGCAGTGGAGGAGAATCACAAGTCTGTCTCTGAATGCATTGACCTGGACAGCATGAGTTAGCTTCACTCTTTTGTCTCATGGATGAAGCTTAGATGGATCTGTTGAAAAGCTTCTTTGATCTGTCTAGGCATTGAGGAGGACTACACAGGACCAAAGTTGGAAAACGGGAATGTAACTTTGGAGTTTGTGAATACCCTCATGGAAACCTTCAAGAAGCAGCAGAAACTTCATCGCAAGTTTGCTTACAAGGTTAACATTGTTGCATTTTGATAGATATTGCAGAATGTGGATGACATCATCTCATGTTGCCTGTTATGATTTTTTCATTATAGATCTTGATGGATGCCAAGAAGTATTTTGAGCAGCAACCAACAATGGTAGAGGTTACTATTTCCCCAGATTCCAAGTTCACAGTCTGTGGTGATATACACGGACAGTTTTATGATCTCATGAACATCTTTGATATCAACGGGCTTCCTTCTGAGGATAATCCATATGTATCCTTTCTTTATTTAAGTGAAGTGGCCTTGGCCAAGATATTACATTTCTGGCTGTAGCCCAGATTTTGAACCCTTTTAAAAATGCAATGAGGTATGACATGTGTGCACTTTTTATAAAGCACTTCTAAGTTCTAAGGAGTTCTAATAGGTTTGACTGCCTTGGACTATGAACACCATTTTCAATCAGGCCAATTAGTGACATAACCTTAATTAGATTTCTTCAGTTGTTCAATGGAGACTTCGTTGATCGTGGTTCATTCTCTGTGGAATGTATTTTCACACTGATGAGCTTCAAGCTGCTGTATCCTAACCATTTCTTCATGTCCAGAGGTAGCAATTCATGTTATGAAAATTCTTCATCTATGGGTCTTATCCCATTCTCTGCTAGCATTTCATACTTCTTTTTTCACTTTGAAAGGTAATCATGAGAGTGCAACTATGAATCAGATGTATGGCTTTGAGGGAGAGGTGAAGTCAAAATACACTCCCCAAATGGCTGAACTTTTCACAGAAGTGTTCAATCTTCTACCTCTATGCCATTTGCTCAACAACAAAGTTTTGGTGAGTTCTGGTTGTCCTGTCATTGAATGTCAAGAACCAGGCCTACATGAACATTACTAATTTATATAGGTAATGCATGGAGGCTTGTTTTCTCAAGACAACGTCACACTTGAAGACATAAAAAAAGTAGATCGGAGAAGGCAACCTCCAGAGGAAGGTGAGAACTCCTTTGTCCAAGGTCCTGTGTTTATAGGTCCTTATTTTTTCAAGTTACATTCAATGGTAAAAATGTGATAATTTTTCTGTTTTCAGGAATCATGTGTGAGCTGCTATGGTCTGACCCTCAGCCTGATAATGGAAGAGCACCAAGTAAAAGAGGTGTTGGTGTCCAGTTTGGTCCAGATGTTACTGAGAAGTTCCTGAAGAACAATTCCTTGGACTATGTTATTCGTAGTCACGAGGTGAAGCCCGAAGGCTATGAGATCAGTCACGGACAGAAGTGCATCACCGTCTTTTCAGCGCCCAACTACTGGTAAGACATGATCCTGCTCTTTGATGTGTTCCTTGGCCTACAAAATTGATTATTCTCATGTTTCACTTTTCATTTTCAGTGATACAATGGGGAACAAAGGGGCATTCATCACATTCACTGGCAAGGACCTCACACCCAAGTTCACAACCTTCTCTGCTGTTGTAAGATATATCTTGTTTCTCTGTACTAATCCAAATTTGCATCATGCTGGTTGGGACTCATTCTATTTATGTCCTTTTTTTCTTTCCAGCCTCATCCCCCAGTGAAGCCGATGGCCTATGCTGATTTTTTCTCAAGCTTATTTCTATAGTACAGGTATTTGTGTCTTAATTTTTTTTGCTTTCTTTTTCCTGTGCTGGTCCCATTTATGTAGGGAATGTCTGCCATACACTTCTTCCCAAAGAGAGCTCAGTCATTCAGGTCAGAGTTGCAGATCATAAAGTTTGTGATAACCATTAAGGTTTTTATCATTGAAAGGGAAATCAAAACACCATGTCACATTTGAAAAACATCATCAATTTCTAAAAGAAAGAAGCAAGGAAAATGCAGGGAGTCATTTTCATATGTTGTCAGTGAGGCAACATGATAATGCATGTCTATAATGAAAGAGACACAAGTAGGGACATCTCAAATTTCAGTCATATGAAGCAGCTCAACTAAAACAACTTCAAGCTGTATTCTGAGTTCCAGCAACCCACTTGAACTGGTTTTTGGATGGTGGTGCACCAGATTTTGCTGGGACTGTTTTGGGAGTATGAGTGAAAGGGCAACCATCACGATTGCAGGCCATTCCAAACTTGCAATGCTAAATATGACAAGAACACGAACATGCATCACTTGGATAACTTCACCAGAAAGCCTCACTAAACTAGTTTTCTTCAGTAACCTAGAGAAATGTGACAATAATAATCATAATGTGGAAATAGCTGGTAAACCAGCCATCATACTTACTTTGGGATGCGAAAATTTGCAAGCAGGATTCCCACATCCAGCCCCAAAGCGACATTGCTTTGCAGGGACTCGTGGGGGTGGAACAGGCTCTATAAGGGTAAAAAATAAATTTTCATACTTTTTCAGACATTTGGTGTACAACTCAATTGTGATCATTTCTAACCAATGCTCCTGACCATTTTGAATGTCTCAGGGTCCTACACATTTCAAAGGATAGGAATCTCTGAATGCCACATTATACCTTTGTAAGGGAGTCTCCATTCTACTTCAAACAATGGAAAAGAAAGGAACATGCCCATGCCTGGTACTCAAGTTCAAAATGCTGAGAAGAAAAAATAAATAGCTCCTGTTGTATATATGTCCAACATGGAACTTTCAGATGGAATGCTTCACTTGCATTTGCATAAAGAATGTATGGGTTCATCTTGGAACTTTCAAATTTGAACTGCAGTTCTTCAGATATCAAGTTCTTTGGAATATCACAGATGCCACAGGTTGGAAATGCCCATGGGGAAGTTTTTAATGGCATTATTATTGGGATGCAAAGCATTCCCCCCCAACTTCATTTAATTCTGGGAAAGTACAAGACAAAGTCACTATCAGAATCAGAGAGAAGAATTGGCTAAGAAAGGGTTCCAAATATATAAAGGTATTTTGCCAGATTCGTGTGATGCTTAAATAAAGTCATGAAAGAACACCAGCCATCTGCTCCAACCTTTGTGACCCCTGTTTCTCAATGTTATGCTAATATGGTATACACCTATGTACAGGGGAGGTAGGAATTAAATGGAAAGGTTAATCTTACCCCAAAATATTGCCATGTGTAAATTGGCAGTGATGAAAACATAGATTGGAATCCCAATGTTGTGACTCACTTGAAATCAATGCTCGTGGTGCTGAATGCAAATATGCACAGTCAGGTTGATTGCAGACAGCATCAAACTTGCACTTAGGATGAATGAACCAGCACTGATTTCCGTACTTGCAAAAGGGGAAGGCCCTGAAAAATGAGTAAATGACTGGAGGCAGAAGACACAATTTGCCAAGAGGCATTTTAGCTCAACATAAACTTTTTGGAGGCAAATATAATATAAGAAGCTTTTCTTAAATATTAAAATATGGATTCAAATGCTCAAAATAAAGTATGGAAGAGTTAAAATAGAGTATGAACTTTTTGCAGAAATCCATAAGAATTATGCAGTGACCTCTTTGACATGCTATTTACATCCTATTCCAGGACTTTAGAAAACAACTAATAAAACCAACTGAATAAAAGAAAGATAAATTCATAAAGTGATAATCATTGATGTTCTATCATGGCAGTGCAAGGATATCTTGAAATAATCCTTCCATACAAAATAGAACTTGGACACAATCATTGCCTTTAGCCTGGGCAGCTGCCTGCATTTTTTTCATGAAGTTGCTAAGGTAATTCTGGAAGACATGCAATATCTCCCATTTCATGGTAGCCTCAGTTAAGAAACTCTTCCCTTCAGCAAATATTCAAGAAGGATCTCCAAGAATGGAAGAAAGGTATGTTTCTGTCCCCCAGAAATGATGGAAGTTAGGGGGGATAGTGTCTTATTTTCTTCAAAAAGTTTTCATTTTCAATTGTTGAAAGAACTTGGGGAATCCTACAGTGGTGATCTGTTCCTGCTACTTTGCAACATGGTCTTTTTCTGAATTGCTGTCATATGAATTGATTGCCAGCTGAATATAAAAATTTGGAATGCGATGAATTCTTAATTCCTGCTCTGTGAATTAACATGATTCTGAAAATATTCCAAAGATGGTAAAATGTGCAAAGTGAAGAGGGCTGGTATTTTTCTTATAGACACCTTGCAATGATTCTCATCAAATGAATCCCACTTCATTCCTTTTTTTATATTTCAAATTAGTAATGAAATGTACATTGCTGGTACCTATGTCATTTTGCATCAATTGAAACTTGAAGGCATGTCCCTCCTGCAGAAACTAGGCAGTAGTTTTTGTGTAGGAAAATATCACTGAGAAGAATTTGTAACCTCTGTAAAGCAGTAAGATCTTACTTGCAAGGGGTTGTGGGATGAACATAGTTGCAAATGTTTCCAAGTTTGCACTGAGGCCAGTATCGACACCTTTCCTTTACCTTAGGTGTTTCCTCGAACTCCATGTTTTCTGCTGGCTCATCATAATCCATCACATCCACTATAGCAGAAATCAAATTCTTGTGAGAACACTCTCATTTCAATAATGGAAGTTGGCAATTGTAAATCATCATACCAGAATTAGGCAGAAGAACGGGATTCATTGTGACTGTGGGAGATATCACAGATTCCAAGGTTCCATCACCAGTGTCATTGAGATTGAAAAAAGCAGGATTGACTCCCTTCATAGTGACATAGAATCTTGTGGGACTATTGTCATCCTCCCTCATGTCTTCTTCGTCCATTTCAGCATGTCTCTCCTGCATATCTACCTCCTCCTTGCTATATTGGCTGTATGGAGCATTCCATATAATATATTATCTACACTGTGCCCTCTATCTCAATAGTAAATAATTTATTTAGTTTTGTCACAAGAAAGACCTTATAATATATAATATAATATAATATATAATATAATATAATATATAATATAATATAATATATAATATAATATAATATATAATATAATATAATATATATATAGTAAATAATTTATTTAGTTTTGTCACAACGAAGACCAAAAAATGGGTCTCACCTTTGCAAATCTTCCGTAAAGGAGTTCTCCTTATCCTCCAAGTTTATGGATTCTGCAAAAATCAAACAAGCAAGGATTGTGACCATGGGAATGAATCATGAGCAACAGAATAAATTATAGATACTGATAGCAATTTACTTACTCTGGATGGGCTGAACTTCAGCACAGAGCAGGGAACCCTTTTGGATTCGATCTCTGATCCCCAGTTTTACAGGACCAGGTGAAGGCGTTGGCAGAATCAAGATTTGGGAATCATGGGATGAGGACTCTGCAAATTCCTCTATTTCATCTTCTCTGAGGGAGGAATCTTCCAGACTTGATGATTTAGTCTTCTTTGAATCTGAGTCCTCCTCCTCATGGCTGGTTTTGATTTCTGAAGATGAAATGCTCACTACAGGTGGGGAAATCAAAAGACCATCAGTACTATTGTTAGGTAACACTGACATCAAATGATGGGGATTGGTTCCTGCAGTCTAGTCTAGTCAAGAACCTGTAATGACTCACCAACAACATTGTAGGCATTTGATGCACTACGACAAGGATCAGACTCTCCAAAGCCTCTTCTCAAGCGTTTTCTCGATGTCTTACTCTGCAAAATATCAATATACTCATTAATGTCCAAACATCTTATTTGTTTCTACCTAGATTGCATGCTGTTACAACCTCAGAATAGAAGCCAATAAAAAAAATCACCTCCAATTCAGGTACTTTAGTTTTGATTGACCCTGAGACAGATTTCTGAGCCTCAGCTATGGCATGCAGGAACAGCTGTTTATTAGCCATCTTATCAGCTGGTCGCTTTGGCCTGAAAGTAAACAAAACATAAAAATGAAAATTTTCATTCATAAAACACACATGGTGTCTTTAACCCCTTAACTGGGAACTTTTGAACGCATATGTGCGGTGATTCCATTGAGAGAAGGCAGGTGCCAGACAGCACATATGCGGCGAGTCCATTTAAGGGGTTAAGGAATGGATGTACCTGCTCTGCACAGAAACAACACTTGAAATACTCTGAGGAGCAGAGTTGTCCCCTTCATCACTCTCCTCTGAGTGTCGAATGGCACCAATCCTTGAAAAGATGGAGCGGCGAGACTTGGCGGCCTATCATGCAAGGGCAGGGAAAATGTTAAGCTTTTTTTGCCATGCATTTCTGAATCAAGTCAGAAATCAGTAGAAAACATACCTGTTGTGAGTCTGCCTCCTCCTCCTTCTTCCTTCTCTTTCTATCCAATATCAATCTGGTATCTACTTCCTTTGAATATTTCCCTCTATCCACTTCCTTCTTAGGGCCGGAGCTGGTACTGACTAAGGCTATTTCTGGTATTCTTGACTCATTCACCTTCTTCTCATTCACATCCAATTCCTCCTCTATTCATAGTAGCATTAAAGAGAGAATATGAATACATTGACAACTGAGAAAATGATAATACAGGAGATGACTTTGGATCAAAGCAGTCAACAGATATGATTTCCAGATCTCAAATATTAAAGCAGCACTTACTGCTTGCCCTAGAAAATCCAAACACAAACAAGACTACCCCATATGGCTTGAGTAAAAAATCAAGCTAAAATGATCCAAAAAATGCTGATGTCATGTTATAAAGCAAAGAAATTAAATAACAGCCCATACGTAATGCATAATGGTAGTATTCACAGAGGCACTTACCAGAATCACATTCAACTTGAAGTGCAATGGCATCAGAATCTTCTGCAGCTACTTCAGGGATTTTGGGTCCTTCAAACTTCAGGATAGAAGCCACAGGTTTTTTCTCAACAGCTCCAGGTAAAGGATGGGGTGCAGGCTTTTCGCTAACCTTTCCAATTTCACTTTGATATTTGCCCAGATGAATATCTTTGCTTCCTTGCTCAGTGGCCTTCTTCTGCTCTTTTCCAATTTCACTTTGAATTTTGCCCGTATGAATATCTTTGCTCCCTTGCTCAGGGATCTTCTTGTGCTCCTTCACCCCACCAATTGAGATCAATTCATGTGACTCTGAGCTCTTCTTCTTCTTTTCCTGAGACCTAGATGAATCTTTTGACTTCTCACCCTTCTTTGATTGCAATTCTTTCTCAACTTTGAGTTTTTTAACCTCTTTTCCACCTTCTTCCTTGCTTTTCTTGGCTACTTCCTTGGTTTTACCAGTATCTCCTTTCTCTACTCTCTTTTTCTTCTTCTCTGGTGAATCATCTCTGGGAGTTTTCTTTCGTTTTTTTTGTTCTTCACCCTTGACCTTTCCTTCTACTTTTTTTTTCTTCCTTTTCTCCTCCTCTGCCTTTCCCTTATCATCCTCCTTCTTGGAAGCTGTTAACTTCTTACTTAAGTCATTAACTGGCTTTTTCAGCTCCCCTTTCTTGCTCACTTCAACAGACTTGGGAGCCTCAGAACTTGATGACTTTTCTTTCTCTGTCTTGGGAAGTTTTTCAGAAAGTGACCCTTTCTTGGATTTCTCTGAAATGAACCAGGAAAGGTAATCATGAGCAAGGTTACAAGTGCAAGAAATCTCTTGCCCAAGACCAAAAAGGCTAAAACCATCTTAGTTAAGGAAAATCTACAAGATAAAAAATCATACATAAGCAGCAATATGACACAACTACAGCAGCAATGTTAGGGGTGAAGATTAAGCAAACTGCTTACCATGGACAGTCACCTGCTGAAGCTTCTGAAGGATGTCATGAAGCCATTGTGAAAACACTTGAGTCTTCTCTCCCAGGAAGAGCACCAGGTCTTCTTCCATTTGCTCTTTAGTTTTCTTGTTGGCAATCATGATCATCACATAATCTGGCAGTTCCTCATCTGGAATCACAACATTATTGCACAAATGAAGCATGCATTGGGCTGGCCATGACATGAATATTAATTTATTTTCATAGTTTAAACTGCAGAGACAAGCAAGGTCATCAAGGGAAGCAAAAACTATTTTTAATTTGAACCAATGCTTGTGACAAACTTTTCTCAGCATTAACATACTTCAACCAATTTTCCTTTCAATGGCTCATCTTTCTTTTGATTCTTGGTCACTAGACAAAGTCATGTGCAAGAAAAATACACTTGATGGTAGATGTCAGCTTACATTGAATATGACACATCATGGCACACCTAGATTGTAGTTAGTGCTGATATTCTCAGTAATAGTCTATTGGCAATCCAAGATGATTTGAGCAATCCCATTTTCTGAATTAATGAAAGGCTGGGCACTGACATTTCTTGAGATTGCATTATTACTAACTTTGCACTTCACTGAGATATCCACATAACTTGCTGAATCAGATTTAGGATGAGGCAAAGGACTCAAGAGTTTGACCCTACTCGTGCAGTGGCTCAGGGGTGGATGTAAATAATTAAGTGCTGAAAATTAGTCCGTGTGCTACTGAAGCAGCCTGTGCTGGCCACTATGCAATGCTGGGACTGTTACCACAGTACAGGGATTGAGAATATAAACTAAATTCACCTTCTCCTCAGTAACTGTGCAAGGATTCATTGACCAAACCCAGAAGTAAGTAACCTGAAAATGTACACAAATCACTTTTCCTTTTTCAAAGGCGGTATGCAGCTCAATGGAAGGATGGCCTTGTCATTCACACATGAAAGTCAACATTGTCACAGAAATTTAAACAACTTCCTAAGTAATCTTGACAATGCACCAGGCCTATCCTAGTCCTGCAAGAACTCACCCACATATGCTCCAAGTTCCACCAACTTGGCTCGAATGGCACTCTGAAACAAGAGAACAAAATATCAGTAAAGGAGGTACCCACACACGAGACGTTAGGTATGGAACAGTCTATTTTGAACTGTTGGCAGCGTGTTGTCCCGCAAGAGAGACAAATAATCCAATATATTATGTTACAAACCTTAACTTTGGATGTCACCAATTCGGATCCAAAGGTATCCATTGCCATCATTCTGCTCTCGAGACAACTCCTAACTAAGAACAGAAACTTAGGAAGTGGGATACATTGGGTTCAGTTACACAAGTATAAATTTCTGGATTTTCTGAGGGAAGCCCTCTACCGCTGAAGGTGATACGTTTGGCAATCGGCGACAGAGCGACGCCATATTGAAAAAAAATCTCCTTATCAGGGATGCCAAACCACCCACGGCATCTTTGTTGATAAAAAAAAAGCTGCCCTCAGAACCAACATTATGCATGTAAAGTCGAAAGAGTTGAAAATAATTTCGTGAACGATTAAAAGTAAATACACATTCTGTGTCAAACAGGTGAAGCACGAAGAAGGCTCTTTGTTTTCAACTTCTACCCATATCCTTGAGTTTTTTCTCTGGTCATTCCAAAGGTTACCCCGAGAAAAAAAAAGAAGCTAACATTTGTGTTGTTCATCATCTCATAATGATCAAGAGGCGGAAAGTTTTACTCGCTTAACGAAAGCGTGGAAGACATCGGAAAGAAGAAACCTGAAGAATACGCATCAAGCAGCTGGAATTCGACCGTTCTCAAATCAAACGGACATAATCACCGCTTGAGGCTCATTTCAAATGTATTAAAATTTCAGCAAGATACGCAAACAGTTCTTGACTGCTCTCATGCTCTCGATAGTCTTCTAATAAAATGCTTCCAGCGAGATCCGCAATAAATTATGAAGTAGTTCGTTTAAAAAAGTACTGGAATCAATTATTCAGTACCATTGAATTATTATTCCGCCACTAAATTGATCAGAAAATCAAATTCTATTCCAGAAAACGCATCTTTTTGCTCTTTCCCCCCCCCCCCCACCTCAAACTTCAGCCCTTGCTGAGACAGCTTTCGAAATCGAGTCGGAAATGCTTCAATGAGACAATTCGGTTACTCTCGAAGTTCATGTCGGGGACGAAGCTGAAAAATGCCCATGTTCCTCGCCAAATCAGCACGATCTTCGTTTGGCACGGGAGGGGGAGGGG